TTCGCAAAAACAGGCCCATTTGTTGTAAAAAGAATTGCATGCATAGCTTTATGGAGGCTTATAGAGTACTGCTGGGGACTGTGGAGGGTAAAACGGCCTGTTTTTCGCAAAAACAGGCCCATTTGTTGTAAAAAGAATTGCATGCATAGCTTTATGGAGGCTTATAGAGTACTGCTGGGGACTGTGGAGGGTAAAACGGCCTGTTTTTCGCAAAAACAGGCCCATTTGTTGTAAAAAGAATTGCATGCATAGCTTTATGGAGGCTTATAGAGTACTGCTGGGGACTGTGGAGGGTAAAACGGCCTGTTTTTTGCTCATTTCTGCCCTCCCAACCCCCAGGAAGTCTCTGAAAGCCTCCAAAGTATATGCACAGCCATTTTGGTGAAGGGGCGGGGCTTCGGGAGACAAAAAATGCTGTATTCGATGTATAAGACGCACCCAGATTTTCAGCCTCTTTTTTGAGGAAAAAAATGTGTGTCTTGTACTCTGAAAAATACGGTACCTATTTGATTAAAGTAAAACAAAACAAAACTTTATTACTTTCAATTTAAAGAAGTGTATGTTAATTTAATCTTTAAAAGGGGCTACTAAAATGTATTAAAATGTATTCTCAAAAGCATGTTATATGCATGCAAGTATACATATTCATCCTTTTTGGGGTAAGTAACTTAATGCAAAAGGTGGAATAAAAAATAGAAGAAAAAATATTGAAAGTAGGAGATAAGAAATCAAAGAGAGACCTAACTAAATCTGGTTTTTATGAACACTTTTTTACTTATATCTTTTTATCTTGGAAAGCTATCATTGCTTCCACTATGTCTGTACATTGGTTTTTGTTCTTTAAGTTTTTTTTCAGTTTCTCATCAATCCATTCAACCATAACTTTCTTGGTCTTCTTTCCTTTTCACCCATTCCTTTCATTTTGCTTTACAAGTAATTATTTTTCACAACATGTCCAAACTATTTCAATTTACTCCTTTTTTCATACTATTTATTCACTATTATATTCAAGCCACATCCATTCATTATTCTTTTTCTTCTTGTTAACTGCCACAGATATTTCTTAATTTCCTCAATCCCATTTCGTTCAACTTATTTTTATGCTTCTCTTGACAAATCTCAACCCTTGCTCCCACATAATAAAGTGGGCAGAACGGCCATTTTTGTTTCTTTCAACATTCCTTTTTCATAACAAATATACGTTACCTACTGCCTTTCTTAGACCATCCCATATGTCTTTAAATTTCTTCAATCACTTTCCTATCTTTAATAAACATTTTTTCCAAAATATGCAATTCATCTGTTTGCTGTATTTTTATTTATGGATAAGTTAAAATAGTTCAATCTTTTCAAATACCTTTATTGAAAACACTGCATGACATTGCTGTTTCTTACTGTAACTTTGTAATGAACATTCATTAACTAATACAGTTCAGAACCAATAATAAATTTATATGTCTTAATATATCAAATGTGAATACAGTTCATAATGGCCAAACAGAAGTCTGATGAATACAATATGATCACCCCCAAAACCTTGTAAAAGAAATTCATTTTTGCATTACTGTGCAGGTACTCCTTGTGTCTGCTCCATTAAACTGCTTCACTTAATGACCCCTCCCATGCCTGCTTTCCCAATGCTATCATGAAATGAACCCACCAATTGTTAAGTGGAACATAGGGTGTCTTGTGTGGGGGAGATCCTGGGAGGCCTAATGCTGTAGTGGTTAAATTGAAACCCGATCGCAAGTACCTTTGGAGGGTTATTGTTAAGTAACCAGTCATAAGTCGAGGACAGTACTGTACTGTACTTCAAAGGAGATCTCACAGATATGGTCTAATTGCTGTGAAGACCAGGTGGCATTTAATCAAACAAGTTGCAAAGATGGCAGTGATGAATTGAGGAACAGGCTCTTGTAAGGAAGGGGGAGAGCATTTAAGAGATTATAGTTTCCAGGTTATTCAATGCTTTAACAATCAAACAAACACTCAGAATTGGTCCTTGAAATAACCTGGCAACGATTGCACCTGGTATAGCATAAAAGACAAGTTGGTAGCTCTAATAGCCACATTTGGAATCTGTCTATCACTATACCCAAATTGTTATCCCCTGCATAGAAGATACGTAGTTCAATTCATCTATCCTTGCTGCTAAAACCTTCATATATTAGTAGCAACAATAATTCCTTACCCTCTTATGGTTGTTTTATGTATGTATTTCAATGTGTAATGATTTCTGCCAGATACTGTTGAACTTCATTTACTCTCTGACTAATATCCTGGTCCATTAAGATAATTCTTTTTAGTCAATCCCCTGGACTCATGGACAATGCAAAGCAAAGCAAAGCAAACCGTCTCTAGAGTCCCCAGTACGTTTGCATTTCCTTCCCCATGAACTGAAACATTTATTTATATTGCCCACTCTTAAACTTGATAAGACATTTCTTTACCACTGGTTGTAAATTTTGTTTAGTTTGGGGTTTTCTCAGAAGGATATCTAACTTTTGTGATGCAAAAACAGACTAAGCATAATCTTTAATGTACTAAAATCCA